TGGGGTCAGTTGGTGGAAGGTAGCCGTACTTTTGTAACCAAACCTGCAATAACAAGTAAAGTTCCTTTTAGGTCAACTTACAATGTAATAATACTTTTCTGGTAATTAATTTATGTCTATAATACATTTTTAAACTGTATTTCCTCTACAAGGGCACACATTATTTGTTTGATCTTTTTGTAACATATATTATACAGTTTAGGTTATTTTAATATAACTTCCATGGTTGTCATGGATCTTTCTAACATATCTACAAATGCTAATTGACAAAAGAGATTGATCATTTGTTACTAGATCAAAGTATATAACATACTATAGTAAATAGTGGATTAAAACACAAATAAAGTTTGTCCCTGCCCTCCAGAACCTCAACTTCCTAAAAGGAAGGATGTACTTTACACCAATATGACTCCATTGAGACATCTGTGCTGGAAGGGGCAGTTAATGTGCATATGCCACATCTAAAAAGCCATTTTCCTGAAATTAACCAGTGACTGCAGCTGTGACAAGTGGCATCTTTCTGTCATGACATTTTGGGTATAAATTCCATGCAACTAATCTATTCAATTGTATAATAGCTAGTTATCTCCAAGGGTTGGTGACTTTTTCATGTAAGGAACATTCTTCCGTCATTTATTAAAGGTGATTCACTTTAATCCACATCAGATAAGTAACCAAACTTTTCACATACAGTGAAATCTAACTATCTTATTAAGTGGGTTCAGCCCTCTCTTTATGGGTCTCACCAATTTTATCCCCTTTTCCCTGGTGAGGAAGGCTCTGGAAGGACAGTGAGAGAAAGAAGTCAGAGTTGCAGTCATATGGTAATTGTGACTGGAGAAACAATTCAGAGTCATTTAAGGTTGGATTATAAAAATAATACAAAACCAAGGGCATTCCGAAAAAAAAAAAAAATCTCCATCAGGGAGCAGATGCTTTCTGGTTTTACAACTCAGTGCATTCACTCTAACTGCACAATCATGTATGTTCAGCCCACACTCATCCTGCTGTCCTTTACCTCAATATTCCCTAGGGCTCTAAGATTTCCTGAAGTGCAGTGAACTACCCGTCACATTGATAAGGGTGATGTAATTCTGCCCCAGCATAGAATAGAAGCTGTGCTATTTAGTGGGAGGTATTTACCAGTGTGTGTTTCCTTTTCTACCTGGGTCTATTCATCACATAAATGATGATACCATGAAATCACAATTTTTCCCTAATAACTGATATTCTTCCTTTATGAATTGAAAACTACAATAGAGGAGAGTTATTTTCCTAAGGAAAATAATCAGCAAGTATAG